GCCTGCCCCCCTGCTGCCTCGGGGCAGGGCTAGGGCTGATTTTCTTCTCTCTCTTCTCCCTCTTTCCCACCCCCCCTGTTTGGGCCAGGGCCAGAGCCTTGACACCCCCATTTCCCGCCCAGGGTCCATTGCTGCTGTTGCCTCAGGCTGCTGCTCCATCGCTACTGTCGTGGCAGCACAGCTGCTACCTCCTGTCCAAACGCTCGCACTCTGATTGGTTGTTTCAGACAACCAGTTAGAGTGCGAATAAAGCATTATGGACAGATGGACTAAGGCTTTTATAATATTAAAGAATGCTGGGAAACATTAATAGACAGTGTTGTCAGTCCCACCTAGTTTAAATACATGTAATAACTGTATGAAACATAACATTCCTCTCTATCTTACTACCACTTCAATCTCATATATTCCAATAATCCACTTTTATGAGACCTACTTTTAACATTCTAGGCCTTTGGGCAATCTTGAACAAGAATTGTTTTTAAAAAAAAAAAAAGAAAGCACCAAAATGGAAATGTTTCCTTTCTCTGGCAACGGTACCATAGGATTACTCTCAAAATTACACTAGCCAGTAGTTCAGAGCAGGTGTTAATCAGTTTTGGAATAATAAAGGATTTAGAGTTTAAGGTTCCATAGACTATGGGGACTAAACGTGGGAGGCCTGTATAACTGGAAAAAGAATCCCCAATTTCAAATGAGAGAGTATTTATTTCTAGTTGCATCTAGTAAGATTTCCAGACTGCAAGGCCATAAAATCACACTCCTCTCTGTGGGAAATAACTATTTAAAATAATTTAAAGAGATTTGAGAAATATAATTATTCCCACTTTTTGAGGCATATATGCATTTAATGTGGCTCCTTTTTTGATTTGTTTGTGAACGAAGAAAAGTTGAAACATATATCCAGCAACTTCTTAAAAATATGTAAAAATGTGAGTGTAAAAATTGCTAGTTTATGAGTAACAAATGACAAGTATTCTGCAAAAGTTTAGTTACAAAATTCATGCCCATTTTTCAGTTATGCTGATAAAAATTTTTTTTCCAAACAATCATGTATAATTGTCAGCGATTTCTGCTACTGAGTGAATTCTACTCTTTCTTCTCTACAGATAAAAGTAGTGAGCCTGAAAACAGTCCAACTCCAATGGAAAATAATAGGGAAGAGGTAGGAATAAAGTGTACACATTTGAATTTTCAGTAATGCATGTAAAGCAAAGTGACTGGCATAAAAAGCACTGGATACACTCATTTGTTTCTTTAAAAATCAGGTGCTCAGAGATTATAGCTAGACTAATTTATATCATATTATACTTAGCGTGTTACACTACAAAAAGAGAAAAGGGAACTTTACAAATTGACATGAGTGATGAGATGCTTGAGGGGGGAACATAAGGCTTTACAAAATACTAAATGGTGAAGAGAAAGTAAATAGGGATTTATTATTTACTCTCAGCACAAGAACTAGGTCTTAAACTAGTAGGTAGTAAGTTTAAAACTATCAAAAGGAAGTTTTTTCACACCGTGTCATTAAAATGTGGGACTCGTTGTCACTAGATGTCATGTAAGGTGATAGTTTATCTAGATTCAGAAAAGGGATGAGAAAAATTGGAGGAAAGGGACATCAGTAGCTGTTGAGCACGGGAGTTAGGAATATAGCCTCTAAATTAAACTTCCTAGGCTGAAACTGCTTGAGGCTGCAAGTGAGAGCGGAACAATGGCGAAAAAACCCCCCATGCCAAACCAAGTTCACTCTCCCTTTCAGCATCTACTTTCTGCCACTTTGTGACACAGGATGCTGGGCAAGATGGACCTATGGTCTCACCCAATAAATGGCTTTTCTTATGTTCTCACTGTGGCTTTTGAAGAAGGAAGGAACTGCACTTTTATAGCGAAAAATAAAAATAGTGCATCACAAAATGTATTTTTTGCCAATTTTAGTTTAGGTTTTTTGTTACTCCATAACTTTTTATGATACGTTTTCTAATCTACTTTAATTTGCAAAGTTTTATTATTAGTACTAAGCTAAAAAAAAAACTTTACTAAGCTTTTCCTAAGAATTAGGAAGATATGCTGTAGATTTTTTAATGAAGGATTACCAGTTTTGCGGTCAAACAGATGGCAAACTGAGGTTCTGCTTGTTTATACTTTTATTCTTAACCTGTCTTTGATATTTGCATGAAAACAGGATATATTTGAGTAAAAGTGAATAATAATTAAACTCTGGCTCCTATTTATGCTTAGATGCAGTTTATCCAAATAACTGTAAGTACTTAAATATACCTGTTTTTAAAAAGAATTATGAGAGATGTAGGAAATGTTATGCCTAAGCAAAATTTTAAAAGTATTTTTATTGAATACATTAGTATATCTCAGTGTTTCCCAACCAGTGTGCTGCGGCGGCACAATGGTGTGCCGTCAGAAATGAACAGGTGTCCTGCGGAATTTTGCCATGACAATGAGCTACAGTAGGTATGAGGATGGGGACTGCCTTAACAGCTGTGCCACGGAAAATTTTTATTAATACAAGTGTGCCTTGGGTTGGAAAAGGTTGGGAAACACTGGTATATCTTCACATGGTATAGTTTATTAGCATTTGTATTCTTTTTAGAAGCAGTTTGATTGACACTTCAACTAAACATATATATAACTACCAAGCCTAGTGTCTTATTTGAAAAGCTAACTTGGGTTCTGACTTTCATGTGGGCTCTAACCTAGTTCTTGTCTGTACCCAAAACCTGTCAGTTGAGAATTGTGGTACTTCATGCCCAAGCTGTTTTGCCCAGCCTGAGAGAACTCAAGCCCAAATGCTGTTTACACTTTCTCAGGTACTTCACTGGCTGTGCAGTATCAATACAGGCTAAGGGCACTTAACGTGTTGGTAGTTTTCCAGAGCCTTTCACAATTCTCTAAAATTCCATACGTCTATTAGGGCAAGACTCAGATTAACTCAGCGGACCATAATGCCAAAAACCAGGAAACATAACCTCAGAAACTCTCACTTCCCTTCTCTGAGGTACATCACAGCACAAGGCCGGTCAGATAGGCATACCCGACTGTAGCTTTGCTATGTGGCCAGTCACACCTGAGAACCTTGAATGAAGAGAGGACTCCTTAAAGACTTGGGAAACTCTGAATAGCCCTTTGGTGACCCAGGAGCATTAATAAGCTTTAGAGTGAGCCATGCCAAGTCTGCATGGGCCAGGTGAGGGTCACTGTGCTGGCATGCAGGCCAGACTGACCGACGACCCCCCCCCCCCCCCCCCCCCCCCCGACTATCCGCTCTCCTGCCACCTCCCGGGGTCAGCGGG